GGTGGGTGAAATGAGAACCCAGACTGTGTGGGTGATATGCTGACTCTGTAAACCGCTTAGAGAGGGCTGAAAGCCCTATGAAGCGGGATATAAGTCTAACTGCTATTGCTATTGCTATTGCTATTGACTCAGCCTTCCATCCTTCCGAGGTGGGTGAAATGAGAACCCAGACTGTGTGGGTGATATGCTGACTCTGTAAACCGCTTAGAGAGGGCTGAAAGCCCTATGAAGCGGTATATAAGTCTAACTGCTAACTGCTAATTTCCCCAGTGCAAAATAAATCTGGTCTGCGGAACTCAAAAGACCCCAAAATTCAAGAGAGGTGTTGAGGTAAAGGCAAACGATCAACTCCCTTACCTTTGTGTAGAGAATGACAACTGCTTGTGTAGAGAACCACAACTGCTTTGTGTAGAGAACGACAACAGCCCACAGGTTTTAATGCATGGAAAAGTAGCAAGATTTTATGCCTTACTATATTCTGTGTCTGTTATTGGGAGAAGAGGAGAGTTACGTGGGTTTTTATTGGTTCAGATGACATTTCTTGGTTTAGGATACGATATACTTTTTGCCATTTAATCTCAAGCAGGCAAATATATTGGGCTGTTAATGCTAGGCTAAATTATGTATCATTTCCTGCTATTTGGGGGGAATAAGTGTTATAAAGTACAGATTGCTATGTGCTGGAGGCCAATTTTTTCCCTTTTTCTTTTTCTGATTTGTATGTGCTGGAGGCCACTTTTTTCCTTTTCCTGATTTGTAGATGTCCTTGAAGCAGATAGTACATTATCTAATATATTTAGTTGAAGGCAGGGATGTGATTAATGCGTCTGAATCTTATCTTGGTTTCTGCATTCAAAGTTTTCCCCCCAGGGAATTTAGTTCTTTATCTTCACCTGTTTCTCTTGTTCAAACCATCAAGTGGCGTGACCTTTGATGAAAGGAAATTTGCTAAAAGTGAAGCCAAATGTGTTGGATGTCTCATGACTGATGTGTACTTTGATCTGTACCAGAAATATAAATACGGTGCTGAAAACTGCAGCTGGGAGCAGAGAAAGACCCATTACCCCAAGGCAGAATGTGGATTTTAATTCTCCTTGGTGGTCTGGAACTTTGTTGGGCTCAGTATAACCCAAATACACTGCCTGGAAGAACATCTATAGTTCACCTCTTTGAATGGCGTTGGGATGACATTGCTCTTGAATGCGAACGTTACTTAGCACCTAACGGATTTGGTGGAGTTCAGGTGGGTACATTTTGGTGGTAATTTCTGGGAAAGATGTCTAGGTCTTTCGGGCACAACTTCTCTGATTCCAAGAAAATAAATATTGAATTTAATTAAAATCCAACAGATGTTAACAATAGCGAAGGGCTGTGGGAATGTTTTCATGGTATAAAATCGCTAAATCATCTTCCAAGCATGCNGGGGCGATATGCTGACTCTGTAAACCGCTTAGAGAGGGCTGAAAGCCCTATGAAGCGGTATATAAGTCTAACTGCTATTGCTATTGCTATTTCATAATACTGTTTCATATCTGTACCAGAGATAGGGAATCTGTGGGGCACAGGCATTCCTACCATATCATTTATAGTTCTCAAGAACACGTAGAATTGTCAGGTAGAACATTTTGAACCCTTTTGGGGGGACTTGAATATTTTAGATGGATTTGAAGAATGAAACAACCTCTCTTCAAAGCTTTAGGATTTTTTTTTTCCTGTTAACCAACCCATCCCACTTACTGGGACCCTTAAAGTGAGCAAGAGACAGAACATGGCTGAGGAAGGTTGCTACCCCTATATGAACCCTATATCCTGTAGATGCCAAATGTATTTAATGAATAAATACTTAGTTGGCACCTGGTCTGTATCTCCAAGGTTCTGACCTTGACTCAAATGGGTTGGACGAAATCCAGTCAACAGAAGATAAAGAATAATAGAGTTGGAAAGGACCTTGAAGGTCTTCTAGACCAACCCCCTGCTCAAGCAGGTCACCCTACAAACCATTTCGGACAAATTCTGAAATGGTATAAATTTTCCCGCTTGAGCAGGAAGTTGGACTAGAAGATAAATTCTGAATTCTGTTACATTTATTAATCGATTTGCCTATATAAGCCTTCCTCTTAAACCTGAGGAATAAGCAGTGTGAAAAATTGGGATTCTCTTTTTGTATATGATAACCACAATGAAATTATTGTAAGATAAGATTTGGGAGATGTGCGGCAAATAAACTTAGTTAAACAAACATAGGAATGGTTGGTGAAGGTGATAGAATTTACTGAGGCGGCCAAATTGACATTTGATTAGAGAAAAGACGTTTATTGATGACTGGAAAGCCTTTATGGGCTTTATGCACAAAATAAAAAAAAAAATGAAATTAGGATTGTCAGGCAGTTTAGTTTATAGGTATTTTAATCTCGCTTGTTTTATTTTTATTTTTTTCCACTTTCTTTTCATGTCTAATTTCTATTTAACAATCAGGATATTAATTCTTGGGTTGGTCCCCCAAGTTATGAAGATGGATCAATTAAGTCTGTAACAATTAATCCAGACACAACCTGTGGCAATGGCTGGATCTGTGAACATCGGTGGCGTCAAATAAGGTTAGAAAATTCCACAATTCCTAGATAGGCATTTTTCCCAGATCCTGTCCTCTTCTCTAGACAAATTGAATTTCAGTTCCCATCCTTTCCAGTCCAAATTTGTTACACATCAAGCTAGGAAAAAGGTCAAGATTTTGAATAAGCATTTTTCCTTCTCTCCTCCAAGAAATATGGTTATTTTCCGGAATGTTGTGGATGGGCAGCCATTTACCAATTGGTGGGACAACAACAGCAATCAAGTGGCATTCGGTCGTGGTAACCAAGGATTTATTGTCTTCAATAATGATGACTGGTAAGTGAACAGGAATTTTACACATAGGAGGGAGACATCTTCTTGGAACTTGGGACTAAATTGCAGCATTTCCCAAACTTTTCTTTCTTTCTTTCTTTATTTTTATTTATATGCCGC